TTGAGTTCAGAAACATAGAATACTTACTTGATATTTCGTAGGCTAGTTCTTCCTCAGYTTAAGAAAAGGACCAATACTCAACGTCCGCTTTCATTTCATTCATAATTATTYATAATTTTATCATAACTTTCTCTTCGTCTTATCACTTCCTACAGGAATTYATTGGTATCAAGGATCCTCAGTACGCCAAGATTGCTAATCAAATTAAAATAACCCGACCMTTCGTTGCACGATATCTTCGCATCACTCCAACAACCTTTGCTATTGCCAAGGTCATGCGCGCTGAAATCTACGGGTGCAGCATTGAAGATCCTCCTCCGCTTCTTGGTACGTCATAGATAACATTGCTTTTTTACGCGCGTTCTGATTGGTCAAAGAGCATTGTATATAAAATAAGTCATATACTAGGCACGCTCTCGTTGGTCCAAGAGCATGATACGTTTTTTCAGTGGAAGGATGGGATGCCTGTGGTTTAAGGGTGAATTAACGTAAATAAAGCACTTGGGGATGTTAGTGAACAAGGAAAAAAAGACAAAAAAGTTGAAAAAAAATCAATTCCCTAAAATTTCGGGTGTAGACCTGCCATAAAAATAACAAATGGAATATAAAATGAATCAATTCAATGCCGATTAAACATTTAGATTGACTTATCTTTTGTCTTTATTTAGAAAACCCCGAGATAGGGTATTCTCGACGATCGTTCCTTCTGGATCCCATTTCAGACGTATTTTTTGTGTGCATGTACATTTCAAAGAGGTGAGTCTTGCTTCGATTCTTACACGTCGCCATCTTGRATCTTGGATKTTGCACCGTCAGAGTTGACTTGAATCCAAGATGYCCMCCTTGTGAAATAMGCAATMTYCAGCGACGCCATTTTGTGCAGCAAAGGATGATGGTAGTTGTAGTCCTCGKACTTTTTTATYTCCGCTAWAARYGTCCTCCTACRCAGTTTTTGCTTRYTCTAAGCGAGTAGCAAGTAGAAATACGGAAWTWYMTTMTRRTTTTTCCGTTTGTTGTTTGTTGGTGTCTTGTGAATTCTTATTATTTGTTTCAAATGTTCCCCTATAATAATAAGTGTTTTATCAATTTGTTTTAAGAGATGAAAGTAGCTGTACTTCATCAAGCGATGGAAAAGTTTGGAATAGTAAGTTTTCACAAATTGTACTCAGTTCTCGTCTCCTCTCTTCTCGTCCTGTCTTGTCTTTTTGGAATCCTTCACTTTATTGTCTGTGAAGAATTAAACAATCCCTCGTGTTAAAGCAATAGAAATTTGTGAATTGACGTTTTAAAAGCAACACATTTGACACCATAAAAAAGTCTTAAAGTTAATCCAACGAAGGATGGGCGTCCGAAACGTCAGTAATTTGTTTCACCTACTTTTTTACGGTGTTAAATTTATCTTTTTACACAACTGTTTCTTTAGAAACACCGACGCACCTCACACTAGTTTACCGCTAGTTTCCACCATTATAAATACAATGCTAATTGAYTGGTATTTCTAGTTATAGATCCACAAGTGATTGGTGTCATTGCRGCAAATCCAACCGACAAACACCTGTACGCACTGGATCGAGGAATGAATCTCATGAGAAGCACCGACCGCGGGTCATCATGGGAAGCCATTTCAAACGAATACTTCCATAGAGCGAAAAAGAGGCACACACTTCTTATGTCCAGCGGTGTTCCTGATAATATTACTAGTTCCAGTCCTCCTATGGATTTATCTGTCGAATCGACTTCAGGAACTAAATGGGGAGGTATTATTGCTTGATTGCATTCATATTACTTTATCGTTCATTCATCAGTCCATTTTTGTCTCTTTTTAGTCTCAGGAACTGGTATTCATGTTATGACCGCTGGTACAAACAACTGGAATATCGTGGGCTCGTGGCGATGTTGTGGTCTTTGAATCCACGTATATATTTTGACTATTATCAAACCTTCAGTGACTGTTTTTGTGTGACCGTGCATGCGTAAACTGTAGTAACTGCTGAGAAAGCAACCGATGGCTCAGATAGAAATGCTTTTCGACTGTTCTAAAGCCATCTTGAATTCTGGGATAGCCACAGAGAATTCGAAAGTGTATATTGTTGTATGTGGGAAAACTACTTTCTTTTTTAGAACAAGCGTCAAGAGGGGTCAAATCAGTGACATTAGAGCAAATTCGTATTTGACTGAACTTATGATCGTGCAAATGTATTCAAACACTGTATATAAATGGGCAGGGCTTACCCTGTTGTGCCGTTAGGTCATTGTATCGTTGTATACCTAGGAGATATAGTCTTATTTTGTTTAGCTTGCGAGACGTGGTTTCAATAAAATTGTGAAGATAAACGAAAAAACAATGGAATCTCAGTTCACAGTGGTTTCCATGGGACTGCTCATCAGATCGAATCAGTTTTTAATATTTTTTCAAAGAAAATGTTTTTTTTTATGGGATAAGAGTTATTAATGTCAATTACAACTGTAAATATAAAGAGCGTTTTTCATAAACCCGATAAATGTACCTTAGCTTACCACATTTGAAGGTGACTTCATGCACGCAGAGGTAGTGAGTATGAGTGAATATCTAGAGGGCCCCAAGTTTATTAGTCTAGAGACTATTACCTGCTACCCTCACCCTCTTAAAAGAAAAAGACTTTCATGTCAAAACGTGAGGTAACAGTCTTTCTCGAGAGTTCGCGCAGCCGGAAAATCATATTTCAACTACTAAATTGCTTACAACTGGGCTCAGAACATTAGCTTTTTTGGGAAATATTCTAGTTTCTGTGCTGAATCAAAGGCACAAAGGAGAGCTCAAGCCGAGTAAGGTAACTTAGGTGAACAGCCATCATCCTTGTCTTAGACAGCAGTTATATCGTCACATTTCAAGATTAATTTATTTGATATACGTAAGAACAAAAGCGTTAAACAATAACAGATTTCTAGGCAACGAAACACTCAAAAAATCCTTTTAAGAGGTTTGGTTTTAACATTAACCAAAATTGAAAACTGTGAACTGTCACTCGCATATATAATAGCGACTTGATATGGCCACAGTCCGGCGATAAGCATCCTATATCACCGCTATTATACCACAATATTTAAGATGACACTGTAATATTACATATCTACACAAGTCATGAGATTAAAGTAATGTCTCGGTMTATTACGCAAAGCCTATCAACAGTCACATTAACAGTAAATATTTAACGATCGATTACTGCATTTTTCCCGCGCATGACAACATCATCATCATTTCCATGGTGACGACCTAGCCCTTGGCTGAGACCGCATAGATCTGATCTTCTTTGTGAAAGGAGATCAACTAAGGGTAGAAGAAGTGAAAAATTTCACAAGAGTGTTTCTAGCAAGAGTAAGTAGTRCAGATAAAGTTAAATTGCTCTTTTTAAAAAAAATCTGCTTTTTTCCTTAGTTTTCTAAGAAAGTAAGCAAAAAAAAGCATTGAAAAGTCACAAAAAGTTGCGAAAGATTATTGTAACGTTTTAGATGTATTCTTTTTACTGGCTGTGAAAAAATGAACGCCTGCTTGTATATTAGTAAAGAATCTAAAGTTCTTTTAAAGGGAATTTTCGGCACTGAACTATATTGGAATATATATTTCTTAGATTTTCATTTGATTTGTTTGTTTATGAGTTTTGGTTTCTTGGATAATTATTATGTTGGTTGTGGCTACATGTTTGCTGTTGTTTTGTTATTATTTTTTGATGGTTTGTTCATTTTGTTCACATGCACTAACAGCGTGAAATTCTTTTTCAGTGTGTGCCTTCAACACCCTCATGCTGCCACTCCTAGCCGTGTTTTGTGGCGTAGTTTCAGGTATTTTCTGTCTTGTACTTAGTCGGAAGTGTATTTGGAATCACACTGAAAAGGCAAACAAACAAGCAAACAAGGCGTACTTTGTGGGAATTTATGCGATTCTCAAAAATAAGCGTTCATACAATCTTCTGCTTTACTTTGCTTTGCCTTGCTTTGCTTTGTTTATTGCTTTGTTTAGTTTGTTCGCTTTTGTTTTTCTTACTTTTGCTTTGCTTTGCTTTTTTTCGTTTGTTTTGTTTTTCTCAGTAGTTTTTGCTTTGTTTATTCCTTTGTTTCGTTTGTTAGTGTTCGTTGTAAGCTTTTTTCCGTTTTTTTTATTTTCTACTTTGCATTTTATTTCACGTTCTAAAGTTGAACTTAATGTAAATGTGCAGCAATGGTTATGTGTTAACTTGTTTTATTTGACCTCAGCTCAAATCAAATACCCGACATGCTCTACTCTGTGGAAAGAACAGGGCTGCAAAATTGGATTCCATTATAACCTGTCAATTCTGATTGACGACCGACACCCGAATGCCGCCGTCAAGATCGACTGGCACAATCTGCCGGCATATTTACACAAGTAGGTACCTATTGACCGAAGAAGTATCGATTGCACAACAAGTTTATCGAAAGAGTATCGATTTCGCACGAAGTCTAACGAAATATCGATCATACAACAAGTCAACGAAAGAGTATCGATTGCGGAACAAGTTTACCAAAAAAGGATTAATGTTGCCATAGTTTATCGATAAAGTATCGATTGCCCAACATTTTACGACCGATACAATAGGCGATTGCGCAACCAGTAGTTGTACTGAATGGCACTGAATGGCAATTTCGTTTTTGCAGTCTGAAATGCCGATGCCGTGAAGCGGGGAAAAGTAAAGGATTTGGTTGGTTTGCTATTAACAAAGATGGGATATGTTTGTCGGCTAAAGGGACACTCAATGACTATCGTAAACTGTAAGTAATCGATCGATGAATCATGGTGGTCTATTCCCTGCACTATTCAAGTAAGTTTGCGTTTTTTTTCAGACACCCCTTCGATGATCCGAAGAACTGCACTGGTCAAATTTCCATAACCTCATATATCGACAACAGAGCATGTGTAACAGGACTTTATCGGGCGTTTTTTTATACGGTGAGGGATAACGTTAACCAAGACTGGACTGCGGCGGAAAAAGATCAAAAAAACGCAAACAAAACCCATGTTAAAGGAGTGAACATGCAAAATCATTATCCTATATTACTTTTATATTCAATACACCATATTTCACAATAAAAATGGCCATTTAAAAAAATTGTATCCAGAAATGAGGCCACAATGCAGTCACAGTAGTCTCCTTCACGGTTCCCTGCGGCATCTTGAAAGGTAGCCGTGCCTTTACATCAAAGCAAAACGACCGTTGAGCATGCAATGATAGAAACCTTCTTTCACACCTACAGACAATTATTCACAGGTATCTATCATTGCACGCTCAACGGTTGTCTCGCTTCGAGGTAAAGGCACGGCTAACTTTCAAGATGGCGCAGGGAACCGTGAAGGTGACTATTGTGTCCATGTTCTGGAAATCCTGTTAACGGGTTGGAAAGTAAAATTTAGGACTGTTTTTAGCAAATTTTCAGTTGTTGGCATGAATTTTGCACGATTTCATGCCATTTACACATAAAGACCGTTTTTTGGCATAGAAAAGGCATGATTCATGCCTCACAGGTGTAAAAATCGTTGAAACATATGATTTTAAGTTATAAAAATGCACGTTTCCGGCATGGATTGATGCTGAGCGTTCATCTAACATCATTTTTAGCATGAAGCAAAATATTTCATGCGTATAACGGCAAAAATCACGTTGAAGCGTACACGACATGAATGAACAGTTCATTGCAATGGCTGTACCTCACCCTAGTATACCCAAGTTTTCAGTTCCCGTTTCTCTATCTTTCGTGATCTCAGGGAAGTGACTTAACGCCTCGCCCCTCCTGCGCCTAGCCCTCGCGCGTTCAAGGAAGCCTGGGTACTAAGGTGGATACATATGTGTTTAGATCGAGAATCCTATTCAGTCATCACCACAACAAGGAGGAGAAGAGGAAATTGCCGCTAGTCCACAAGGAGGAGAAGAAGAAATTGCCGCTAGTCCACAAGGAGGAGAAGAGGAAGTTGCTGTTAAACCGGCCTCAAACCCTACTCAGGGCAGCGAAGAACAAGTCGCAGAAGAACCGATAGTGGATGGTGGTAGGTGAATCTAAAGTTTTATGAACAGCAACACTGTAATATAAAACACAAATTGTTAAGAGGGGCCGACGGGTTCCTGGGAGAA